GAATGAAAAAGCTGCTCCTTTGGCAAGCCGCTTACTTTTCATTGGTAAAATAATGATTTTTGTATGTATATGTAACAATGTAACATATGCATGTTTAGTAAATATATACAAGTAAAAGACTCGAGGATTTGCCCCTGCTGGGTATTAATCCCTGCGCCACACGTTTCGAAACATGAGTAGTACCAGACTTCACGGTGCTTGTGGAGTAACGACTTCACGGTGCTCCCGTGTTTCAACGTGATTGGGGTCTCTGGTTTGACTGAATAGCGATGTTCGTTCGTTCCCAGAAAAGGGTGAATCCAAGAATCTACACCTGAGGTGTTAGCAGGGTGGATTGCACAGCCGGGCACAGCCAGATGTGGACGTCGCAGCTTCGGGAGATGCCAGAGGTTGCCGCTGAGCACCTTGGGACCAATCAGCGTCAGTCCAACGGAGAGCATCAGATCACATCCATGATCACTTTGCCGTTCGTGACCTCTTTTGGTGTCGTTGTTAGTGACCTTTTAACAGGTTCAACTTGTGAGCGCATCCCATCTCAAAAGTTCAGATTTGAAGGTTGATCATCTAAGGTCCCTGGTCATTGAACAAACCATACATAAGTCACATAGCTTAACCAGCAGCCAGTCTTCCATGAGAGAAGACCAAGACCGAGTCCGCCAGGTCCACATCATCCACGGCCGCATCTCCGCCTGGCTGTCAGCTACGAACACTGGACGGTTGGGGAGCAGCGGAGCTAGCGCCATGCATACCCAGACCATCCATGGGACTGGCCTATTTACTTACATTGGCGGTGGTTCAGGCGTCAATGTAGGCATCATGAAGCTTGCGAGAAGCAGGAATAGATCCTCCTTTGACCAATTCACTGTGGTTGGCATGGGCACGTAGCGAGGGCCGGTAGTGAATCAGATGCAGAAGAATGAGGGCTCAACTAGACCTGACCTTCACCACAAGCGGGGGCCACTCAGCCTTCGCCCAGCTTAAGTTTAGCTTGACCCATCAGTGAGGCATATATGTCACTTAACCTTCAGGATACCCAGACCAACGGGTAACGGGGCTGTCATATTTGTTCGATCCCCTGAAGATGTTTTTTTGTTTCCAACATATTACATGGATGGAGTGTTTGGGGTAGTTTGTTCAGTTTGGGGATACTGGTTGACCCGTCCGCAAGTCCGTCAGCCATCAAGTCTTTGAGTGGATCAACTTGCGGGTGGACGTGTTGTTGTTCATCTTCTTCTCATAGTTTGATCCCATTCGCCTTGACCTGGTTGACCAACATGACCTGGTTCACCTGGTTCGTCGTCTAGGTATGTTTGATCAAGACCCTCTTCAAACATGATGTTCTTGGGTGTGAAAAGAATCCCTGGGTGTGAAACGAAGGACACCTGCATCAATGTCTGGCATTTAAAAAGAAGACACGCACACATACCGGCTTAAGGTATCCTAGCCCTAAGTAAAACCTCAGGGTCAATGCTTAACGTGTAGATGAACAACCGGAGCCAAGGGTGTCCATTGTTACACGTTGGACACGTTGTCCATGCTTTGTAGGTTTCAACCGATCGATCACGAAAACAGCTGCTTCTTTGCTGAGAATGACGACTGTGGAGCTCCTAGACAAAGTGGTAGGCATGGTATGCTTGAAGGGGAACACTTGCAACAAACTCCCAGGCACAATCGATGGGACTGGCATATGTATATAATTACCCCTGAAAGGCTGAAACCACCCTGTATGTAAACAGTCCAGTCCCATCAGTCGTGTTTGGGCCTGAGAAAGTAACTCTGCGTGCTTTGAAAACCGCCAGACCTGCCCCGATCTACAACGTCCCTCCAGGAGCTTCGGTGTCGCGCTTTGCCGTTGGAAGAGGTCCTGGAAGCTCAGGCACCCTTCGGCCCGGCAGTGCGTCCACCGTCCGCCCGGCAGCGAGTCGGCCAAACCCCCGGGAGTGGATCGAACGCGGCACCGCCCAGACGGACAGAGCATCCGGTCGGATCGAACTGGGTGAGTGTGGAGGGTGGTTTGAGTCCTACATATATATATATATATATGAGCTACGACTGGAGAGTTGGGGAAGAAATTACCCTTGGCCGAGTCCACCTGGAAAGTCCATGCAAAACAAAGGGTGACCGGCTTATGCCCAAGCAAATGCAACAGGAGACCTTTTTTGGGGCTAACATTTAAAAGTGCAAGGCCGCCCATTTACATACATCCCATGAAGTTGGTCGTGTTTGGGAATGGACAACCCTCCACTATACTTACACGCTATCGATACATATAACACGCCGTGGGACTGGCAAGTTGGCCAAATTTAACTTTGAAACAACCACCCAACTGGTCAGTATGCCAGTTCCCTGGAGTGTTTGGGAATGTGTTTTTTCCGTGATCTACTCTTGGTCATTTTTGTGAATCTTGAAAACAGAAAACAGCCAGCACCACCCAAAGGGGTGGCTATTAGATGGAACATAGACAGTCAGGGGGGTCTATAAACCACCCTTTGATATCAGAACTTTGGAGATGAGAGGGTTCACGCCGTCACCCTGCGCACATTCCAGTGCTTTGCATGGAGTGGAGCTGGGATTGGTGACAGGAAGCAGCTCGTTTCCTTTCAACGGATCACGGCGGTCACTCCCCGCGACCATTTCAGTGCTGAGGTTGCATACGTCAGAACCCAACATCAATCGATCAACAGGCCTTGATTGGTTTGCTTTCTTTGGGTTTACTCCCCTTTTGTTCGCACTTGGTTGTGGACCCCCACGGATAACAAACCATCACTGGTGTGTCTGTGGAACATGGGATGCAGCAACCGTCAGTGACTGAGTCACCTGTTCGGTTTCCATGGTTTCCTCGGGAAGCTGACCAGGTTCCACGTGGCGTGTGGCAATGCACCAAGTGTAAGCGCTACAACGCCCCGGCGAAGTCCGAGGCTCAGAGCGTTCTCAGGATGTTGACTCCAAGCAAGGCAACGTAAAGCAAGCCAAGCCAAGCAAAACAAGGAATTGAAGCCACACAAGCAACCCCCACGCCCCTAAGCTCCAGATGAACGTGTTTTAAAAATCCGTATACCGTTTATACCCTCTAACCACCATCCCTTTGATTTGGATCCCCTTGGCCGATACTCACCTCGAGACTTGTCCTCACCGCGAGCGCCGAAAAGCTACGACCGGACTCCGCACCCCTTTGGAATGTCCACGACTGGCCCCCCTTGGTTTGGGGTGTCTATTGATGGATAGATTTTGAGAGGTGTTCCGGGGTCTTCATGAACCACCCCCTTGCGGGACTTGGGTATAAATCACCTTCTCTGGAGGGTAATTCAGTGGATTCCTATAGATGTTCAAAGTGTCGAACTCATCACCTCCCCCTCGAGGGTATGCGGATCTCTATCAGGAGACTGTCCAATAATGAGACTTGGCGCTTGTACATCGTATTCTCCGTGTGGTGAATTCGACACGGTACCGATGATCTACCGAACGTTTGAGAAGCGAGAAGTAGCATCATCCTGGAGTCAATGGGAAGCAATCTGAACACAGCTTCCTCTGGTTTTGTTTGATTTTACCATATGTTACCATATGTTGCCCAGGATTTACTATCTTTGGCACACTGAGATCTCTCAAAGTTACTGATTTCCACTGTTTGCTTGATGGGTGGGTGGAACTGCTCATCCAGTGTCAGAACAAGGGACCTCCCTCCTTTCTCTGGTGGAACGTTGAATCCGATCCATATATACCCTCTAGAGAGGGTGACGTGTTCCACTTTGATGTCGCCCGGACGGTAAGTGGTCGTAGCTGCTGCGACCGGTGTGGTCACCAATTTGGGACACCTTCCTAGTTTTGCTTCAGGTGTAGAGCGTTTGTTATATTCCATGCTATTCCCAAACCTGGGGAATCTGTTTCTGTCCAGCCTTCTACTTCTACTGTACTACTGCGACGTGCATGCGCGCATGCGCTCGGCACACCCCAGTGCTCCAATCGCTTGCACGCGCCCAGGCGATTGGAGAAGCCACTGTGCTACTGTGGTGTGGTGCGACCCAGTAGCGCACCACGCCCCAAAGACGACAAGGCGGCGCTTTTCGTTGGGGGCAGACGAAGCAGTTCGGATTTTCGGACGGAGCGGAACCACCTCACCCAGTCCATGGGAGCGGAAGATGTTTGGGGAAAACCCCAGGTTTTGCACCCCAACTGATCTTCGCGTGCTTTTCGGGGGGGGTGAGGGAACTCTCACATCGGTTCAAGTCGTTTCGGAAACCACGCCATGTCGCTGGGGGGAAAAGCGAGAGAAATCCAACTCATGTAAATCACTGGGTGGTGGTTTCCTAGGTGATGGTTTCGGATCTCTTTAAAACCTCATCCCTTACTTGGGGATGATTGGACCCTCTGACTATATAATATGTTTCAAGTGGGTTGAAAACACCAACCAGTTTCAGATATGTTGATGTTCAACCACTACCTTGTGTGCAGTAAATCAGTGGTAGTTACAATTGGGATGATTGAACCCACTTATCCTTTTAGTTCGTGGGTTGAAACCATATAGAGAATCTAGCCGAAGTGACTGCAGAATCTAGGGATACTAGCGATGGCCTCCAACCAAACAGCGTCCCTTGCTCGTTCGGCGTCAGGATGATGATCATCCAGGGATCACCGTCGTGGTCGCAGACAGTTTCCAGGCCACGGTCGGAGTGCAGCACCACGTGAATGATGTTTTTTTGTTGGACTTCCTAATATGGACTGTTGAATTGTCCCCTTCCCCCCAGCCAATCCAGGAACTCCTCCAATTGTAGATTCATAATTATTAAGTATGTCTGTATATGTGTTTCTATTTCGCTACGCGTAAGACAGGATCGCGCTCAGTCACGAGACCTTCAAGACAGCAAACATGTCCCACTCTCTCCAGAAAGCTTGGAGCATCTCCTGCAGTGATGTGACACTTTCTGGCCGGCTTTTAGAGGCTCAAAGCTGAGCTAGCTGAGCTTGCCACGTTCTACGTACTACGTTTTACTCACATTTTGAAGATGATGCGAAGGTCGCGTCAACTCCTGGGTGTTCTTTGCGTCATGGGCGTCGTGAGTGCCAAGGAGTGCAGTGGTAAGACATGTGCCAAGAAGTCCAGGGGGCTTGAGATGGTACAAATTCGCTCGGGTCTGGCGCGGGAGCACCATGGCTTAGAGATGGACTTGGAGAAGGAAGAAGAAGAATGTGAAATGAGCAGCATTGCCAAGGACTACTACTACAAACCTCCTGAACATGAATTCATTTGCCACAGACGAGGCAAGCCAGATTTGGATCTGGAAGTGGGCAGTGTGCAGCATTTCCATCCCGTGACCGGGGACACTATGACCATTCGTGGCCGTGCTTTGGGCAGAGGTAAGTTCCAAGTCGACAGCTTCACTCCTCGTGGACGGGCCAAGCCACAAAGAGCCACCTGGTTTTGGTCTAAAGCAAACAAATGTTCCAATCCCCAAACCTGGTGAACATGTTTGGTTAATACCCTAGTAAATCCCTATTCTGGTGAATCCCTATTCACAGCTCCACCTGGTAAATCCCTATTCTGTCCACATTACTGGTGAAGACCGCTTCCCAGGCCAGCTTCCTGCAAAGTGTCGAGTCCATGGGGCTGGAGACACGCACGGCCGCCGTGCTGATGATCCGATTCCTAGAGCCTTGGGGAGTGGAGAAAGCATTGGTTTTTTGGGCCAGTAGCAGCCTGCTTGCAGAAGACCAGGTTGGGGGGGGAGGTGTAAGTCAGAACCCTTAGCTCCAAGCATGTTCAAACATGATGGAGTTCCAAGGTATGACATCCAGAGCTTCCTCTGGGTGCTTCTGAAAACCATCTTTTTTCAGTCGTTTCGTCGTTCCAGGCAGCCTCACGTAGTTCAGCCAAGGATGCGAACAACCAGCTGATCCCATCCAGCATGGATACTACGGAGGAGCGTAAAAACATGGCGATTGGCGTCAACGACTCCTTCTATGGTGCCTTCGAGCACACCGTGCAGAAGACTCATGGTGGGACCTGGCAAGATTGCTCCTATGGCAAGCTCAACTTGCAGTTTGATGTGGACCAGAATCCTGAAGAAAAATGAGCAAATTTTCCATACACGACCCATGGGACTGGAAGTACGATGCCAGGTCAACCCACCCAGGTCAACCAACCACCCGAACTGATCGGCAGTCCTATGCCGGTCCCATGGGTCGTATATGGCAATATGTCTGTGTTTCCTTTTTGTTGCCTAACTTGCCGAGCTTCATCATGGTCCTTGCCGAGCTTCATCACGTCAACACCTGGTTTTTCCATGAAAGAAGGTTCGTTCCCGAAGCGCCCGACGCGCTGACATGATGGGACCTAAGGAAAGAAAACGATTTGGCTCAAGATGTAGCTGGCTCAGGCGCAGACATCTTCTATGCTGATGTGCCCATGGTTTGTGACCCTGCCGTTGACTCCTATTGCCCAAGCAGTTATGACTCGGCGACCAGCTGCTCCAGCAGTGAGTACTATGGGTGGCCTAGGCGTGGAGGGACCACTTGAAAGCTCACATGAGCTTGTATTTTGAATAGGGGGGGTACCTCCCAACCAATGGGTTTTGCTTTGCGGCTTGCTGCAGACAGGTGTGACTGGTGTCACTGGGACCCCCCAGTGATCGTGAGGATCACAGACAAACGTAAACAACGAACTTGGCGCCGCCAAGAGAGGCTTTAGATGGTTTTATATGTTTATTTTGTCCCAAATGGTCAACTCCAGTGCAGAAGTAGAGGAAAAGAGGTTTCAAGGCCTAGGCCGCTCGTGTCGGCGTATCAGGGCCGAGCCTCCCCGAGATGAGTGGTCACTTCCTGGTTCTTCGACCCAATATGACTGGTTTTGGGTGACTTGGGCCAGTAAGTAGGCCACTGGATGGGACTCCCACATGAGATATTTCAAATAATCGGTTGATTACATGGTCACATATGAAATAAATGGTCACTGAAAGCACAACCTGGTTCCAGGATGTTGTTTTGACATTGGCCCTCATGGTGGTTTGCGCAGTGTTGGTGCACATATCTAGAGTTGAGTCGTGTGTTCATGACTTTCAATGGCCTTCCTGCAGGTATGCCTTCAACAAGTTCCGGGACACTAAGCCGGGACTTTCGAAGCAAGACTGGATGCATTGGGTGATCATTTTCCCGAGAGATATCGTCAACTGCAACTTTGTCGGCTTGGGCAATGTCGGCTGTTCTTCCAGCTACTGCTACTCATGGATTCCACATGATTCTCGTGGTTGCTCCAAAGTCTTTGTTTGTGTTGCTTTGTGAGCAACTCTTTTTGACCAAAACAAGAAACTGGATGTCAGAGTTGTTTTGCCAAAGCTTCTCCGAAATTGCAAGGATTACTCCACAAAGATTCAAGACTACACCCATGAGCTGGGCCACAACCTTGGATTGGCACATGCCGGCACCAACGGTGGCTCCGAGTATGGGGATTTCAGCTGTGCCATGGGCTACTGCTGTTCAGTGCGCTGTTACAATGCTCCACATGCCTATGAGTTGGGATGGTTAACTCCATCTTTGGAGCTGAGTAACCTGGTTTTGTGGTTTTCAGGTGATGTTGATGTTTCTTTTCCCCATGAGTGAATCCCCTTACTATTTTCCTGGTGTTGCTTATGATTAATCATTTTCCCTATGCTTCAATCCCCAAACCTGGGGAATCTCATGGAATCTGTACATTTTGTTCACCGGGTTCCTGGGAGACGGAGCCCAAGGCAACAGCAACTTTGCGGGGCAACTCACCGATGTGCCCTTACGCTCCATGTCTGTCTATGATGATGGCGCCATCACGGTGACGGGAGATTGGGCTGCCACTGCGGATGTGTATTGGATTCAGCTCAAGACACAGCACCACTATGATAGCTACATGAAATCAGGCTGCCGATATCTAGGTTGAGAGTGTTTGTAGCAGCTATATAGCCAGTGCGCAGTAGACGTGTACAGTTTGTGTACTGATTCTTCTTGGTTGGCAAGACTCGCCAGTCAGGCTGGTACAACAACGTCCAGATCAAGAAGTGGAACAAGGGGAGCTACGAAATCAGTTGGCATTTGAAGACCTTGAACGCGGGTGAGTCTTGGACTTCAGATGATGGGGAACTCACTGTGACGGTCCAGAGCATTGACGTGGTGAACACAATGACAGCTTTGTTGACCCTCAGCCACTTCGATTTGTATAAACAAACTTGCTGTTTCTTGATTGGGGCATGCATTTGCTCTAATACCCTCCTTATCCCTCCTTATCTCTCAAATATATCATTTCTCCTCATTTGCACACATATTCCCAGAACAATTTCTAGGCCGGCCGACGACCACCACAACGACCACTGTCTCGACAACAACGATCTCCACGACTACAACCACAACGACCACTGTCTCGACGACGACCACTACCACAACAACCACGACCACAACTACTACCACGACAACAACCACTACCACCACGACCACGACTACTAC